TGGGGTGAGGTGTGATACAGTACAAGGTAAGATGGCTCAGAGCTAGACGAATGGCAGCGCCGGACTCAGGTCCCAAAGCGGGACCTTCCTCGTCCAGCGCCCATTCATCCATGCCTCAGATTAGTTTTCTGGGGCGGCTACGTTAGTTGAGAGATGCGGCACAATTTCGTTCCGCACTGAATATAAAATCTCACCTTGCACACTTTCTTCTTCCCTTTCTATTTTCCTCGACCACCACTTTGATTTTCTGCCTACACATCTCACTCCCACACCCGCCCATCTCTCATCCCCGCACCCACCACACACACGCGCACACTCCTCGCACCACTTCACAACAACACAACACGATGGTCTCCACAACCAAAGCCCTCGATGTCTTCAACCACCTCATCGGCCCCTGGCACCTCCTCCTCATATCTGCATCCTATTTGCCAGGCACGATCTGGTATCTCATCGCCTCCCTGCAACTGCGCACCCTTTTCGCTCCCCGCCGTCTGCAATCCGCGTGGTTCGCACGCTTCTGGAGCCGCGTCGGGTCGAACATTCGCGAGCGCGCTACGCCTCGCATCAAATCACTCATCGGGCAAGCTCATGGCGTGGTGCTCGATATCGGGCCTGGGAACGGTGAGTGGCTAGCTTGTTTTGATAAAGAGAAAGTCGAGATGATTTATGGTGTCGAGCCGAATTTGGAGTCTCATGGGCTGCTAAAGGAGAAGATCATAGCTTTGGGATTGGAAGATGTTTATACTATTGTGCCGGTAGGCGTGGAGGAGTTGGGTGAGTGGGTTAAGAAGGAAGGGAAGGGAGTATTGGGACAGGGAGATGTGGATAGTGTTGTCACGGTGTTTTGTCTGTGCAGTGTGCCGCAGCCGAAGAGGATGATCGGAGATCTTTATGGGTATTTGAAAGAAGGGGGAAACTGGATCGTTTATGAGCATGTTCTCACGAAGCAGAAGGGTTCTGTTGCTTGGTATCAAGGTGAGTGGTCGCTTCTTTGTGAGATAGGGGATGTTTACTGATGAGCTGTGTGCAGCATACGTGGATCTGTTTTGGCCCCACTTCATCGGTGGGTGTTCAATCACTAGGGACACTGCCAGATGGCTCAAAGAGGCCGGCAGCTGGTCTAAGGTTGATCTGAAGCAGCCAGATGATGAGCCAACTTATCAGATTCTCCCTCATGTCATGGGAGTGCTGACGAAGTGAAGGATGCGGCAAGGGGTGGTAGAAATTAGAATGCGCAAACTGAGACGGAAGCAATCAACAAATGTTATTTCTTTGGATGGATAGGGACGCAAGAAATGGTTTGATTCATCGGAGCCGATTTTCGAAGTTGTATTTCCTTGCTCAGAAATCTATTGTTTTCATGGACTGTCTTTTGGAAAGGGGGAGGTCAAAATAAGAGTTTCAACCTCAGGCACCAATTTTCTCCACCTCAAAAAAAAGTAGCTTCATGATATATACATTCACTCCGTGTCCATTACCCATCCTTGGCAAATCTCTTTTCTCCACGACCCTTTGTACTCGATGCCTACCATACAGTATTTGCAACGATACCTCCATCCGAATCGCAGACCGTGATGGACATGTTCGGGGGCTTGGGAGCCTATTCGCCCTCGTCAGGCCCTCCAGAAGCTACCCCGCAACAGAATCCTTTCGCGAAGCAATCGACAGCTCCAGCCCCAAACGCTGAAGACGAAGATGAATGGGAATACGAGTACTCCACTACTGAGACGGAGGTCTGTCCTTTCTTCCGTTGAGGCCTCAGTATCATAAATTGACATTGTACGCTACAGACATACTACGTGACTCTCGATCTTACCAACCCACGCGATCCTCCCAAACGTAAGCCTGCGCCACACATTGGACGTATCAGTGCGAGGATACGATGGATCAACCCTGTACTGTTCATTCCGGATGAGGAGGATACGCAGAAGAAAAAGCAGAAAGGTGGAAGAAAGAGGAAAAGCAATCGAAAGTATAGGTTAGGAAGCCAAGGCCTGGAGGACGTTGAGTACGGCTACGAACACGGAGACGACGAAGACGATATCTCCGAATCCGAAAATGAAGGAGGTTCTGATAGTGATGGTCTTGATCGGATGAGGCGTGCGCGCGCGAGAGAGAATGAACCTGAGGAGGAGAACTTGGAAGCAAGTGCCTTTCGGCAAGATTCAGAAGAATCCATCTCCGACCCCGGCGATGCGGAGGATGAGGACGACTTCAACACGGTTCAGATCAGCGAATTGCATTCCAAGGAACCCTTCGTCCTGTTCCGAGGCAAATACTACAAGTGCCAATGGCACACGAACATCGGCACCGAACTGCTGTTCACGAAACACGATCCAGATGATCCTGACCCTCTCCCCAGTTTGCGCACTCTCAGCGGAGATGTCGACCTTCTGGCAGCCTCTTCAGCACGTATCATGGGCAAAGAAGTTCTACTCACACCCAAGGACCAAAAAGTCGAAAAGCCTCGCCGCTCACGCCTGAAAGTCAAAGATCTCGCAATCGATGTAGGCAAAGGCGCCAGCGCGAAGCGCAAAGCGCAGGCGAAGTTCCTGGAAGAGTTCATCAATATAAAGCTGGAGATGGGAGAGCTTGATGCTGTTACCGTGAACGCTGTGTCGAGGAAGTCGATTTGGAAATGGAATGAGTATCTCAAAGAAGAGAATAAGAATGATATCCAGCAGTTGAAGAAAGTTGTAGCGAAGGGAGGCAAGCCGGCTGCGGATGCTGCGAAGAAGATACAGGAGATTGAAGAGGAAATGGAGCGGAGACAGAAGGCTGTTGATGGTGGTAAGAAAAAGGGTGGGCCGGGGGCCGGGAAGAGGAAAGGTGTTCCAGGCGGGAAGCCGAAGCCAAAGAGAGGAAGACCTGTTACGGGCAAGTTGCAGGAAGTTGCGCCTGAGACGCCGACCCCCGCGACGCCGGCTTCTGGGATGGGGAGTATGGCTGCTTCTTCGCGAGGCGACGTTGATAGCGATGAGATGGAGGACTCTGAAGATAATAGTGAGGAGGGCGATGGTGAGGAAGATGGCAGTGGGGATGAGGATAGCGGGCAAGAAGACAGTGGTGAGGAGCGCAGCGATGAAGGAGGGAGTGAGGAAGGCGATAGTGAGGACGAGGAGAGATCCTCCGGTTCCGACGAAGACGAACGTTCCGATGAAGATGACGAAGGTGGAGATACTACTATGTACGATTGATACCCAAGACCAAAATGGCCTCTAGATATCTGCTTTCACGAGCTCTTGCAAATATACTGCGATATTTCGGTTGAAGCCTTCGAACAAGTACCAAATTTGAATCTAATCAATGTCAAGGACTGAGTGGCTTTCAAAGACAAGTGTCTGTTCAATCTCCTTGGTTTCATTTTAGTTACAGTGTAAGTATCCTTCCAGGAAGATTGAGAAGTAAGAAGCTATCTCAGCAAATCTCGTATTTCTACCCATCTTCCCCTGTGACTCAAACCTTGTCTCTTCATGTTTACCAAGCCGAAAATTGACGGCAAACGAGACGTTGAAGTTGCTTCATCTGATCTACACACTTGATGCCAAGTTCCAAGTGAACATCTGACAGCAAGCTCAATGGCGAGGTGCTTTGTCTGATATCCATCCCCTCCGATCTAGGCGAGCCGAGAATTGACAGTGGGCAAGAAGCTAGCAGAGAGATTCTAGACTTCTAATGGGGTTTCTTCCTACGAGGACAGCTTTCGAACGTGTGGATTCGAGTTTTGTCGTGGTTTAAGTTTTCGCTGCAAGTCTTGCATGGCGATGCCGGGTCTGCCAATGAAAAAGACTCATTGAGACCCAATGACCATCGACTCCTCCTCTCCGCTCAATCTAGGTCGAGAAGCGCTCGACCCCCATCCCCCAACTTCCTCTCTTCAGTCCCTCTTGCTCAAGTGAAGGGAACTCTCACACCTCTCCTCATTCCAACCTTCACGTCTCTTCCATTCTTACAACCCAATACTCTCAATCCTCTTCCTTTCCCTTCCTTGTGGATTTTCGAAACGTACTCGCGATCATCAATCCCGTCCCCCAAATCGGCCATGTAATCACCACGGTCATGACCCTCTTGACTGTTCTCGGGAAGCGCCGCTCGAAGCGTGTGGGTTTGCGGCGGGTCGCCGGGTAGTAGATGTGTGAGTTGTCCGGTGCGAAATTGTGTGGAGAAATTTTTGTGTGAGTCTGCGTGAAAATGTAATCTTTGGGAGAGTGACAGAGAGTTTTCACTGAAGAGGAAGACTTTGACCTGATGTGTGTGGTGTGGGTTGGGAAATAGTTCGGTCCCAGTGTTTGAGGCGGCTCAGGTGACTAGCATGATTCTCATTTCTATTTGGTTTCTAGGATCAGGAGATACGTTAGCAGAAGAGGAGAGAAGCCAAGGTGTTCAATCATCGTTGATTAGAGTATATCTGGGAGTAATTTCAATCCAGTCACCTGACCTTGATCTCTATCATTGCAAAATCGATAGATGCAATCGGCATTAAATCTTATAATTTCTTTCTTATAAGCTAGCGTTTGCTATTAAATTCGTAAAGCAATTGATATGGCAAATAAATATCGGTGTGCGACTTTTTTCCTGCAAGATTCGCGATTTGGAAGTATATCCTCAATCTGTACAGGCGTCGGAAGCCTAGCCGGGCTAGGTACAGGGGCTGCGTTAACCTTAATTATCGGAATTCACTTATTTACCGAAGCCGACGTGAGTTTTCCCTGCTACAGACCTTGGCTCGAATAGCCGAGAATAAAAATAAAAAGTTTTCTCACCCTCAACTTTTTATCCAAAGAGAGAAAACAAAGAGAAGACAAAGGACATCAAGGTTTCGTGCAATCGCCTAATCGGAATAGGGGAGCTGGGCAGTTTTGTCGGATACCTACCTGCATTAACGTTGACGTACGTATGATTTAAAATAAGGAAAATTTCGATCGAACCCTTGATGTTCTTCTGGTTGTAAGTAGTGGCTCCAACGCTTCTTGTGCGTCCCTAACTAACGGATGAAAAGCTATGGTGTAATGGTTAGCACATCGGATTCTGATTCCGGGGATTTGGGTTCAATTCCCAATAGAACCTACCTCTCAGATGCTGAGTTTGGGTAGTGTTGTGCGTTTTTTTGCTTTTGAAGGTCGGTGAAGTGTGTTTCTCGAGGCCCTTTTTATTTTTAGGCATACACTAAGCGAGGTCTTCAGCTGCTTTACCCCTGTCCCCTCTTCAAAAGTTGAAGAAAGTCACTACCAACCGTATATTTTGCATTTCTCTACAACGTCTAATATCAGCTTTACCAATCTCTGTTACATGTACACTTTTACTCCTCATCCTTCCCTTTTTTAGAGCAGTAGATGAGTAGTGCAGGTACTTAATTACTCCATCGAATTTAGAAAGTTGCAGCATTTAGTTTTGTATTCTCACTTCCATATTCTCCTCCTTGAAGAGAAAGCTAAAGCGACAACAACTTCATCCGACGTCTTTCGTTGTCAAATCCTCTTCTTACCAGATACTGTAAATGAACAGTACTGCGAATCTTTATCAATCTTCTCGCCCTCCATCTAACCTACAAAGTGGATCACTATCACAGAAAACGCAATATGATATTTCTTCAAGTGGAGGAGAAAACATGAGTCACCATCATGGATCGCGTCGTCACATACTCAGGAAGTTAAGCCTACATGATCCTGCTCCTAAGCTTTTTATATACTCCTCTACCCTCTGCTCCTTCTCGCTTCATCCCAAGTACTATAACATCAATCAAGTGCTCTTCCTCATTTACCGGAACGCACTCATATCGGTATACAACACCTATTCTTCGCACCTATGTATAAAATACCACGAACTACAAACCCTAATACACTCAGCTTATCCTTCGAGATAGGGTCCATGTCCCTGATTTTGTAGTAATACACCAAGACTTTCTCTAACTCTACAGAGCGTTCTAGTGCAGCAGCAGACAAAACCCTCACCGGCGCGGGGCGAATGAGGATCGCGAAGTCCTTCGCAACAGGAAGGTTGACAGTGAGTGAAATTTTGACAATAATTCGTCCGACATCTTTTGCTGTCAAGATTGCTTACCTCATCTCATACCTGGAGATATACTACTGCGAGGTTCTGAGGGTAGAGCTATCTTTCATGAATATCGAGCTACTTTCCAGACCGGCATCTTTGATTACGGTGAGTAACACTGTTCTTCTCCTTCTATTGGTCTTTATATTCCTGCTAATATTAAGAGATCCTGTCTACGACATGGCATGCGAGTCGCGTCACAGGCAGAGCGGTAGGCCATTCTTCGACCCTTCGCCGAAGCTGCAAAGCAAATCTACGACGAAATGAGAGAACTACATAATAAGAGATGCTCAGACCTTTTAACAAAGCTTTAGCCCTACTAATTTCGATGTTCTAGCAGGACGAATACAATGAGTTCACAAATCTCATTCAGCAAGTGCATCGATTTTACCAGGTGAAGCAATTCTTTTGATACAATCTTAACTATCAACTCATCTATTCAATTTCTTTCCTGACTCACCCGAGACGTCCATGTCTTACATTCATATCTTCTCTTGAGCAAGGACCCAAGCAAATTTGCCGTCTCAGGTTGCTTGTCCATTTTCCTTGTCATACTCCTAATCTTACATGCGTCTTATCATGAACCAGAACCCAAACAATCTGTATCGCTAAATCTCAAGTATGAACGTGGTATCGAAAAAGTATTATAAGTCATCATTGGTGGCCAAACAATGCCGAGGAAGGAAAGATTTATACATGAGAAAAAGAAATTCGTTCGACATCTTATCGTGATCAAGTCCTCACATTTGCGTTGCCCGTCAGTATTCCATTGTCCATCTCGTCCGCATCGATAACTTCCGCACTTTTTGGTGCTGCATACTCTGGTGCCACATACACGCGAGGCTTAGGCTGAAGCTCTGGGTATCGACACATCGGGCAAGGGTTGTGAAGGTCCACAAGTGCGTGATCCATCATGCACGGCTTGACCTCAATGGAAAGACGACTCATGCGAGAAAGAAGGGATGTCGTATCGCTAGCGCTGCTAGACGAGAAGAAACCAGAGTCTCGAAGTTGCATCTGGAACCTCTGTAATTGAGGAAGTGAGAAATTTGTATAGCTGCCTCGACCCATATAACGAGAAGTCGACGTGGTAATGTTACTGTCGAAACTATTCCCCCGTGCTCGCTTGTGGGAGCTCAGACTCGATGGCTTGGAAGGGTCGCGATGGGAAGGCGTCTGCGAGGGCATCGGTGGTGGCGGCATTTCAATGGATGAGGATGCGATGACAGGATGTTGCGATGGTACGGAGGAGTTCTGTGGAATCACTGGGAGTCGAGCTGGTGGAGACGGAAATCCAAGTGGAAGACGGTCCGAGACACTCGTCTGTGCAGGCTCTGTAGTGATGTTGGGTTGATAAGGAGGTTGTGATCTGTTCGACGGCCTCGGAAGGGACCACTCTTGTGCAACTCGCTGGTCATCATATGCTTCCACTTCCGCTGGAGTATTCGCAATGCCAAGCCAGACTTTGCAGTAGCGATCTTGAATATGATCTTCCGTTGTTGCCGCGCTGTGGAAGGTTAGATACTGATTAGAGAAAACAAGGAGAAGCTTACTCGGCCTTGAAGAAATTCTGCTTGATATGATCAACAACGGCGCCAATCCGGAATTGCAGTCCGGGATAATCATCCTGTCTTACTGCATATTTCATCATCTCGTCAGCTTCCGCCCATTTCAAGAACAATGTCCTGTAACGAGTTTCGATTGCGGCGAGAGTGTGCAATATACTTGGACTTCAGAATGGGTTCGTCAGTAATTATCCTAAAACCAACATGAGATTCCCTACCTCTTGCTAAAATAGCTGTTTTTGATATCCTCGGCGAGCTGGGAGGGTGTGCGTATGAGCTGCTTCATTACAGCTAAGTCCATCATTGTATCCCCGAGCTCCACCAGCGACCTGCGAGGTTCTCCGGCCCCCATTTCCCCCAAGAAATATGTTTCGTAGCGTTTCTTAACTGCATTGAATGTGAGTTTCCTAGTTTAGCCATTGTCAGTTTTCGGTGCATCGTGAAGCTGAGGAAGAGCCTTACTTGGGGGCATTAACAAAACTGTATTGCCTTATGCGATTGATCACAGCACTCACAACGGGCCTTGAGTGCGAAGGTTTGCTTGCTTCCTCTTGCATGATCTCATCAGCAAGACGCCATTGCTGAGGATCGAGACGATATGTTATTGGCTCCATCGCCACGCTAGAACGTTGTTTTTCTGCTGAATCCAAAGCCCGAGTTTCCGGGAAAGCACAGCTGAACCGCCAGCGGATAGACTGAACGACGCAAGCAAACAACGATCATCTTTCAATTTGCATGTTGCATGTTGCTGAAAAGTTGAAGAAAGGCCGGCGAAGGAGAGGGATTCGGTATTAGATTTATGATCAAGCTCGAGTGGTGAAGACGAATATATCTGGTCCCGGTAGATTCAAGGCTTGTAGTTTGAGCGAGCGTAGAAGTAACTGTCTGTCAGAGAGCCAAACAGCTTGGAAAACGAGCGACTGGAGGTAACGAGAGTATGGGATACAAAAAAAAATGAGCAGCGCGAAAGAGATGGAGAAGGAATTGAGGTCATCCACTGTACCAATATGTATGAGGCTCGAGGGCGATCTAGCGTCGGGTCAACCCCAGACGGCAAGGCAGTCTGGCAGATTCCCAAAAGTTCATCATCCCTGTCATACTGAGATCTTGGAACATTACAAACATGTTCTAGCTTGTGATTGTCGAGCTTTCATTTGTCGTGTTGAGCGTTCAAGTACGTGGAAAGTTCACAGATAATTCAGGGGCTGGCTAGATGGACATGGGGGCCCTCATGCGCTAACGTTAAATGCAGCACATATTGCGCCAAAACGGAAGGTGATCACCAGGGCCAGCCCCAGCTATTTAAGCGTTCCCCTGGTCCTCTGTCGAAACTCGAAACTCTGGAAAATAGGTTCAAAATCGCATATGTGCAGACGCTTCACCTCACTTGTCAGAGCCGTTCACACTTCACCGAATTTGAAAGCCTCGAAGTTATCCATCAGCTCGCTATGCAATTGTTTCTCAAAACAGTAGGTGTTCTCGAGTCGCTCCCTTGAAACAGTGTCGGCGAATACAATGCTTTGTTTCACCCAACCTTGCAATCTTCAAAAGTTCCTTTCAACAGCGAAAAGTGTACTTCTTGGCAAAGTGGACAATAGCCGGCTCAATCCAAGCTTCTCCAGCGAATACTCTCTCGTACTTCTTGGTACCTGTTTGCAGATTGCTGCATCAGAGGGCGTCGGATGTCAACCGTCGTGAAACACACGATCCTTGAATGTCGTTGTCAGCCACTACGCCCGACCAGAACGGCGTTCACCGCCTCCTGATGAGGTTGCATAAGCCAGACTTGTGTCAAAGACGGGAAAATGGAACAGCTGCGTGGAACAGTGGAACACATTTTCCCCGTGGTAGGAAGGCAACAAACATTTCGTGTCCTTTTCACTTAGGCAAATTCATGCATTCAAAATTTATGAGAAGTCGAACTATTGAACAATTCGCAAGACCCAGAGAATCCTGTTCAACGCTGCCAATGTTCGAAATGGGATTGGAAGGCGTCATTGCGCGTCCTTCAATACAATACCTTTACTGTCGCCTCACAGGGCATTTAGCAAACCAAGACAGCCCAGTCCACCACGGGCCGACATCTTCGACGATATAGAGAAAGCTAATCCTTGCTCCCCAAGCTTCCCAAACTTCCACTCTCGTCTGCTTCCCAAATTACCGATCCCGTTCCTGCTGAACATTTCAAACTAGTGTGGCCGAGGTGCCCCAGGGCCTTTGTCTGGGTCTTAGTTTGTGAGATAGGGGCTTAAGCGAGAAACCCCACCATCCTAGGCCACAGCAGCTAGTCGAAGTGCATACTTCGAAACGCAGACGAGCGGCATCCAGTCAGTGCGGGGAAAGTTCACTTGCGCGGCCTTGCCCCTATGACTTTATCTTATATGATTTACGGCGCGATTAGCATATCTTATCGCTGACGTCGCCGGTGGGCCGCCGGCATTAACTTGACGTC